TATTCTTGTGTGTAAATATTCTAGCTGCTCCATACAACCGTTTGCACTTGTTTCCGCAAGAGTTACGGACTGAATTGTGTATAGTTGAAAAAAAATAGCATGTAACTGTATGGAGAAAAAAATTATTGTGAAACAGAATCTCTCAATTTTGTGTTTTTTTTTCACCAAAACCTATTTGACAAAGTTAAACTTTAGCAAGTTTCTTATCTCTATCTGACTACTTAGTGAACAATATAACTAAAAAATCAAGTTATTTATTAAGTGGGATTGCAGTGCCTTCTATTCAAGATGCTTGTTTATCTACTCAGACCCTTAGCTGTTCTTATCTTTTTCTTTGTGTTGTTCTTCTCAGGGCCCTGCAGTTTCCTCCAGAGGGCTGGTTACGCATGGGCTTGAATAACGGCAGCATCACGTGGCTCACCATCCGCCCCAGCGGCAGGGTGGCCCTTAGAACTCTGGGAGATGCAGGATTCATGCCCCCGGATAAGTTAACACGGACCTGATGGCCCGACACGTGGCACGTTTCTGGGTTGCAGGGTCAAAGCTCAGTTTTCTCCTTAAGTGTCTTGAAAATGACTTTTGATGTTGATTATTTTGTAACTTGAACTACCATCATGTGATCAGAGACTTTGGCGGTGTTGTTGTGATTACTTCCCGTGCCATAGAACGCCAGCAGAAGTGATTGACAGGTACTAGCAACTCCTCCTGAATGTATCTGATGAATTTTTACATAAGTGACTGATTTTTAAACCAAAAAAAACAAAAGTTGTATTTGTATAGCTGTTGTCCATGCAGTTCAGTGTAGCTTTACGTGGCATTACATAAGTGAGGATTATGTGTTGTTCGGTGGAGTTGTAGTAAATAAAAGAAAATGATGAATGCCTCAGTTTTTGTGCACACTTCTGTTTATTTTTTTTTGCTGATATAAAACTTGAGAAAAGCACACCGACACACTGACGGTAAAGTAGGAGTGATGTTTTATTGATTAGTTGGAAAGCAAATGAGGTCTAGACATACAGAAAGAGAATTCACCATGAAAGTTAATTTTTAATAAAGCACAGAATGCTAAAAGCACAAGAAGCATGTTTTAAGTTTTTTAGGTGCATTTTTGCAAAGTTCCACATTCATGAACATTCAGAGACCAGAATTAGATCTGTTGTCATCTGAGAGCACGAGGATGACGATACAATCTTCTCAGTGAAGTAGTTTGTGCTCTCGGATAAAGGTTAAGTTCACCAAAAATAATAATTCAAAAAAAACAAAAACAAAATTACATTCAGAACATTTGTTTCCTTCAACGTAAGTAGAGTGGCAATCTTAATAGTTAAGATAATTGGCTTTTTTCGTCCTAGATGTAGCTGAGAAGCCCTCACACAGCAGTGAATTTATCCCCATCTTACAAATAGTTTGGATACAGCAGGGTTTTTTTCACACGTTCCACCTTTAGACTTGACATGGTTGTGGAGAACTGCAAGAACCCGCTGTATTTACATGAGATTACTGTGAGCCAATTTGAAGCACCCAAGATATTCCTGACACACAACTTTGGACAATAAAGCTCTATCAAGCACTATTTTTGAAATTAACACTGAATCAAATTACTTCTTGTAATGTAAAAAGGGTTTGCAAGTACTGCTAATCCCACTGGGAATCAGCTTCCAACTCTATGCAGCTCTTGACTAATCAGCTGTGTTCTCTGTAAGCGTAAGGCAGTTTCTGTTTTATTAACAAGATGGTCATAGTAGGCCATAGTAAGCTATTGAATAGATCAGGGTTTTGTTGCTATTGAGTTAGTTTTGGAGTCTTTCTGCCCCCTAGTGGTTAAAAATCACTTAATACAGCTTTAAAGTGATACCAGACTGAGCAATTCTTACAGTGTCCGCCCAGACAAGTCAAGTTAAAATAATACTTTACTGATGGGTGTGTTTTGTCATTCATACACTGTGGGAGATGCTTGTGATCAAATATTTCCGAGAAAAAAATAATGACAAATTGCACTGTCTAAGGCTGCCGTTAGTGGCAGAAAGGAAAAGTCAAGACATGTCCAGGAACCACCAAGAAAAGATGGAAAATGTATGCATTTATTTAAGAACAAAATAAAAACATGGAGAACTGGTCCATCACTTCAGAAAATTAAGGCAATTCCTGAACTGAGGAAAAACATAGGAAATGGCAGTCGGTTTTAACACCATTAATAAAAACATTTAATTTTTGTGCTACTGACCAACATACAAAAAATAATTTTTAAAATATTAACATTTTACTTTTTTTTCTTTTTTTAAGAACATCTCCAGTGACAGAATCCTGTTGAGGATTCCACACTAAAGTTTTAGTGACCAACTAACTTTGGGGAGTGTGGCTTGTGTTCACGATATTCAAAAAAAGTTGACTCAGGCTTTGATACAGGTGCTTCACACTTGCCACAAACAACATTACCATCAATTCAACATGGTCCACACCCATACAGTACATAAATTATCAAGGTTTCTTTTTTTTTCCTTTTTAAAGTCTTGAGTTTACATCACAACCCAACGTGATGAGAATTCCTGTATTACATAGGAGTAGTACCATACATAATTAATACAAATCTTCCAGACACTTGTGCATATTTCTGTTAAGTTTGTGGTTTCTGAGCTCTGGTGTGACCACCTGGGTGCAGCTGGGTTTGTAGTAGGGAGGGAAGGCGGGGGGCTTGGAGAGGGTATGGCCGCGGTGTAGAAGAAGAAGGAGAAGGAGGGGGCAGTTAGACTGGTGGCTCGTTCAAGTGCTTGAGGCGGATGCGCTGGATGTAGCTAACATTGGCAGGGCTGTAACGGCTGGGGCTGAAGTCTGGTGAGGCAGCGTGCCGGGCAGGACTGAAGCGGCCGGTGGGAGACATCAGGCCGCTGATGGGGGAGCCGGGGGTCTGATGCTGCATCCTGAGTCGAGGTTTTACCACCGCAGGGCTAGGCCAGCTAGACAATACACATCAACACCAGTCAGTATTTACATATACAACTTTATATCATTGTGGAAGATCAGACTGTTGGACTTGGTTGAACTTGACACAACCCCTTTTACTTTTTCTCCTTATAAAAACGTGCAACTCAAAGCGTTTGCCAATTAGAGAAGCAAAACAATCTGCAACATGTAACAGTTTCAGACTGTCATGATGTTGTAAGTCACATATCAGGAAATCCACCTCGGGAAAAAAAATGGTTGTTAACAATTGGCTGACCATGGAAGTTCAGTGTGAATCAATTACAACCTCAGTGTAACGGTCTACTCTTACTTTGATTCTTTTCTTTAGCCTAGATGTGAATGGGTAGCTTTGGAATTTGAACTTGGCTTGAACGTTATCTTTCTAATCTAACATTTAACTGGGGTAAAAAAATAAAAATAAAATAAAAGGAATGGAGTATGTTTGCTAATTAGCATCCTTCTCTAGATTCTTGCTTAACCAATGACACTCGTTGCCCACAAGATACCAACACATGAGTGAGCTGATGATGAGCAGGGGCCTGTGCTAGGAAGTGAGTGCAACATACCTAGAATATCTGTCAGAGATCCAGCTTGACTAATCCTAACAACCCACTCAGGATAACCGGTCCTACGACAGTGGTTATCAACTCTATAAGTCAACCCAGGTTTGTCTGATCTGAGTACAAGCGCGTGCAAAATGGGCGGCGTTATCGGCATCTGACCAATCACGACTATGGACAAGTCTGGCTGCAGAGCAGCTCACTTTACTGCCAAGGAGCAGAATTAAATCTTTACAAAACATGAAGAATAATATAAAAAACATCATAGGAGCAGAAGGCAGCACCGTTGCAGCGACCAAAGCCAGGAAGGAATGCTGGCAGAAAACTGCTGACTGTGTGAATGCATAAGTTCATTAGTTTATAATATAATATGATCACTGTTCCATCATGAAGGCACGTATCAGACAATAAGCACATCTGAGCATTCCTTTTAACTAGTGTGCTGTCTAATGTATATACTTGTGGCATATCTGATATGTTTTTAATTTCAGCTGCAACCCTGGCAGTGTAAAAAGGACATGGGAACAAATTAAGAACAAACAGAAAAACATAACTCAAAGCGGTGTAGCATACCAACGTATCCTACAAATACAAGCTTTAATGCTAAAGTCAGTTTACTGTTGTGGGGTGATATTGGTATGGGGAAAAAATATGAAATAGTTTTGACATTGCCTGTAGCCAACAAGAAAAAAAATGAATGAATGAAGACAGGAGCTCATAGAGATCGTCGTCAGGGTGCGGTGTTTTGCAGGTAGCAAGAAAACCCTCACACTCCTCAGTGATCCCTCACAATTCATGCTCCGACGTGTAGCAGGTCTTCTAGAAATGGTGATGTCATTTTGTTGAGAACTGCTTTGTTTTCTGCTCCTTCTGAAGTTTTACGGGAGAAAACTGATTTTCAGTGGGCAGTGTTTTTATACCCAGTGATCTCAATCTCCAACATAACCTGCTGCGGAGCAGGTTAGCCGTTCAGTGTGAGTTACCATGGTGATGTATCCCGGTAAGAAGTGAACCACTGTTGTAGGACCGAAAACCCAGGATTTAACCTGAAGTTACCTTGCTAACCCCAAATCCTGCTTCGTAGTATAGGGCCCTGGTGATGGCAGACTAGAAGTTCAGGAAAATAATGTCTCCACTAAGCTGCTCTGTGGGTGTAGGTAGGGCTGAATGATTAATTGCATTTGCGATCATATCGCGATATGATAGAACGAGATTTTCTAACCGCAAAGGTTGCGATTTCACTGGTCACATGATCTGGTGGCGTGACCTGCTTTTGTTTAGGCCGAGTGAGGTGGAGCAGAACGGTGCGAAGGGGGAGAGAAGTCAACACGACGCTTTAACCTGTTGCACAGTGGCCACAGCCTCAACAGAAGCTGACACAGCAGATAATTTGGTGTCAAAGTGTGGCAGCACATCATCTGTGTGGAAATATTTTGGCTTTAAGACAGAGGACGCTACGCAGAGCCAAGTATTCTGCAGAACTTGCCGCGCTCCGGTTGCTACTTGCTATGTGCAGTGACATGCAGTCAGGTGAGGCAGAGCCTCACCAGACATCACGGAAGGAATAAAAAATATGATGATAAAATAATTTAAATGGTTCTATTTATCCAGTGATTTGTACTATAAAGTATTTATTTTTTCATTTAGCCTCATCAGTTTTGATGATTTTTAAATTCAAAATCACTGAATTTTCGCAATTTCTCATTCAAATGCTTGGAAGAGAAGCCGGTGAGGCAGCGACGAGCTGTGTCTCACTTGTATTGCGCAATCCCTCACTGCGCAGGCTGCCATGCGTAGGCTGTCACTGCATGGCAGGCAGCAAAGTGAGAGATTGCGCAATCCAAGTGAGGCAGCAGCGACCTCAGCCTCACTTGGGAAAACATTGCTGCTGGCTGTCATACTCATTTTGCACTTTAGTATATAGCCTGCTGCTGTTGTTTGCAAAGTAATTTTGCTTCCTTAAGGTTTACAAAGGACATTCTTGAAGTTTATTTTATGTTCACTGGTTTTATTTATCTAAAAATGTCAAATTGGTTAAAGCGGATATAATTGTTCTTGTACTTTAGTGTGTGTGATGTTTCTGACTGGATCAGTAAGCTTTATATCTTTAATTTATATGTATATGTTTATTTTTTATAGACTGTCCTGTTTGGCAAAGACAGTGTTTAAGAAGAGCAGTCAACATGTTTACATACATTTTCATCAAAGTTGAAAAGTTAGTCAAGTTTAAGGAAAAAAAGCCACAAATTTGTTTTATTTATTGTTGTAATCTGGCTTTGAAATAAATCTGATATAGTTTATTAAGCAACATATGGATTTATTTCTTGTTTTTGTCAACAAAAAAAAAATACACATGGAGAGAGCCTAGAAAAAATAATCGCATATCAAATCGCAATATTGAGGAAAAAAATCGCAATTAGATTTTTTTCAAAAATCGTTCAGCCCTAGGTGGAGGAAGTCATCTCAAAATAAAGCTGTATGTGGCAACCTGCAACTTTATTGAGTTAACCCATAGGCCAGGCAGGTTTGGGTAAGCTTAATCATAAAGTGTCACTAAGTTATTAATAACTTTCAAAAACATTGCATACAATAGACGAGGCTGTGATTACTAGTCCACCCTCTCTTCTGCTCACTGTTACTGTCTGTCTCAAACACTTAGGAAGGTGCAGATCCTGTCATGCTTTGGCTGCTGATGGTCTGCATTACCAAATTATAAATTAACCCACAGATACAGTTTTTACAATAAATGTTAGGTGCAATGTGACTGAGGAAATGGACCTGCACTGACTGCACTGCTCTCACCTGCTACAGTTACACACAATGCAAGGTTATTTTAAAATAGCCCTGCCTGTAATGTACTGTAACATATCCTGCCTCAATAATAATAAACACTGCATCACCACAATATGGCATCTCTGTATTACTTTAAGAGAAAAATGAGCATCCCCTTGCGATTTCTAAATGCCCAGGTATAGTGTAATACCTTGATACTGCCCAAGTCCAGTCTGAACACTGTCTTTTGATTTTTTTTAAAAGCAAACATTCAAGAGATATTTAAGTTGTATAGTATATTTAACATGCCAGTAACTGTAAGACTGTACGTGTAAATATAGTTAACAATTCCATGGTCCATGCATTTCTCTAAATGAACTGTGAAGCTGAAATGTTTCCCCACACAGTAAATATTTATAAAAGTTTAGCCTTTAATCCAATAATCTATTTAAATCAGCCACTGAGACTAAAAAGACTCACTATTTACACCAGGAAAGCATCAAACACAAAGTAAAAGTTAGCAGACCACTAAAAGAGGGGCACATGCACTGTGATAAAATATCATCCATGCCTACTAACCTCTGCATGTCTGAGGCAGAGTACGACTTCATTGTGCTCTTCCACTTCTGAATACTGGGATACTTCTGGGGATCGATGTCTATGGCCTCTATTGCTGACAAGACCTCTCTGTCCAATTTGGTTGGTGAATCCCTGTAAAAGTGCAGAAGATTAATCAACAGCATTATTATGATGAAATGTTTTTATCACAGTAACTCATAAACTGAGTCTTTTGTCTACAATTAAAGACTACAGAACCTTAAAATAATCAGATTCACTCCTTTTTGTTCATAGTTATTAGAAATCAATTAAGATGGTTAAAAGCCGAAAGATTCTGATTTGCAAAACATTATCTGGGACACTTTCAATTCGGTTGGCTGTAAATTCTCAGACATTTAAGACAACACTCTCTGTAGAGAAACAAGTGTGACTCACCCGTCAATAAAAAGTCCTCTTCTAATGTGCGGTGGGGTCCTGGGTAGGAACTCATGGGAGTTATCTAAGGACTTATAAGAGGACCCAGAGGATCCTGAGCTGCTCAGGTCCCTGCCCCCATGGTCCCATGATTTGGACCGAGCACAGAAGTTGCGCACCCCTGACACAGACCCCCTAGTCCTACTGAGCACCTCCAGACTCTCCTCTGCTTCAAAGTACTCCTCTGAGCTGCCACTGCTGCGCCTCTCCTCTGTACCTACTCCCTCTGTTCTCCAGCCGGGCCCATCCATGGCCTCCCCGTCCTGACTGCTATGACCGAGAGAAAGGCGGTTCAGCCCGGAGCTCAGGTCTGTGGCTGAGGAGGAGCTGTAGGAGTCCCGGACCTCCCTGTGCCGGTTGCCGCCACTGCTCCTTCTCTCCCTGCAACTGGTGGGACTGTCCAGTGGCTCCTGCAGTGACATGCGCTCAAACTCCACCATGAGATTGGAGATAGGTGACAGCAGGCAGGAGGAGGACGGGGAGGTGCGTGGGGACACCTTGTCTCCATTGTGAGTCCTATCTCTAGACGAGGAGCATACCCCGTTTTTGCAGACGACACCAGGTGACAGGAGGCCGTCGTTGCAGCAGCACAGCAGGTCCTGCTCAGCAGCTGTCTCAATCAGGTCGGCCCCACGGTGGTGCAGTGCAATGTGGAACTCACGGCCACCCACAGCTCCCTTTAGAACGTCCTTGGATGCAGCAGAGGAGGTAATGCTGGTGAGTGCTGCGTTCTGCCGGTTCTTCATCTCCTCAAGGCTGATATCATCACCCTCGTCCAGGAAGGCACCAACAGAAATGGAATTGCAAAACTTTTTGGGCTTGCCTGCAATCAAGGACAATGAATAACCAAAGCAGACTTGTAATCTCGTCATTATTACAGTCAAATTCTTTATATGACTCAAACTATCAACGTTTGCAAAATTCTTAATACATCTTCCATTACACTGCAGTGCCAACTAAAATTAGTCAATGAGTACAATCTATTCTCTATTTCAGAATTTGTATTTTTTTTCCAGAACTCACAAATTCCTTGATATAAAGCAGGTGAGGGTACCTGGAGAGGGAGTTTTAAACCTGTTGCTGGTTTCATTCTCTCCTGCCTCTTCGTGAGCTCGTGGGCTGAAATCCTTCTTGCTCAGATACTCTTCCAACTTGCGAAGCCCCTCAGCTGATGACAAATCCACAAAACTGTCTAGGAAATCCCAGTACTCGGCCCAGGGGTGGCCCATCTCACGAGCAAGGTCTCTGTAAATAGAAGATGACTTACTACGTAAATAATTACACCACTTTATACTGACAGGTTTTTCCGTTATTTTGTCCACCCCATTTATATCAATGAGGGTAGGCTAAATAACAAACACCTTTCTGTATGATTCAAGACTAGGGACAGCTGACCAAGGCCTTTTTTTTTTTTTTTTTACTGATCAGTATCGGCACGAGCCTAAGTCTGAACCTCTGTTTACATCCACTGTTACATGGGTGTCATAAAGAGAGAGCAAAATTTGGGGCAGTACGTTAGCGATCCTAATTTTGAATAGTTTTCTTAAATCAATTATCAGTGGCAATACTAATTAATGACACAAATAAAGCACCCGACTAAGAATCTCCACCTTATTGTGGTGGAGGGGGTGGAATGTCCCTGTGATCCTGGGAGCTGTGTTGTTGGGGGCAATAGCCCCTGGTAGGGTCTCCCAGGGCAAATTGGTCATAGGGGAGGGACCAGACAAAGAGTGAGTCATAAAATCCAGATGAGATCTAAAACGGGGACAGCCACCACCTCCCCCAGAATAGGCAAACCAAGGTCTCCTCCTGGAGCCAAGCCTGGAAGCAGAGTTCATCTGGGAGCATCTGGTGGCCATACCTTGGTGCCATGTTGGGCCCGGGACACTCACAAGCCCCGGCTGAGCACCGATTTGTTGGAGTTCTCCCTGGAGAATAAAAGGGTCATCTCTCTACAACTGCGTGTTGCAGAGAGGAAAACTCTGACTGTTGTTTGTGCTTATGCACCCAACAGCAGTTCAGAGTACTCTGCCTTCTTGGAGTGTTGTCCTGGAAGGGGTGCCCCCTGGGGATTCCATAGTTGTCCTGGGGGACTTCAACACTCGCATGGGCAGTTATAGAGAAATCTGGAGAAGGGTGATTGGGAGGAATGGCCTGCCTGATCTGTACCCGAGTGGTGTTCAGTGTCAGCAGTAATGCGAGCGTTGTACCGGACCGTTATAGTGAAGAGGGAGCTGAGCAAGAAGGCAAAGCTCTCAATTTACCAGTTCATCTACGTTCCAACCCTCACCTATGGTTATGAGCTCTGGGTAGTGACCAAAAAAACGAGATCGGGGGTACAAACAGCCGAAATGAGTTTCCTCCATAGGGTGGCTGGGCTCAGCCTTAGAGACAGTGTGAGAAGCTTGGACATCCGGAGAGTCGCTGCTCCTCTGTGTCAAAAGAAGCTAGTTGAGGTGGTTTGGACATCTGATTCGGGTGCCTCCTGCGAGACTTACTTTGGAGGTTTTCCAAGCACATCCGCCTAAGAGGAGACCACGGGGCAGACCCAGAACTCGCTGGAGGGATTATATATCTAATCTGGTCTGGAAACGCCTTGGGATCCCCCAAAAAGTACAAGATAGTGTTGCTGGGGTGGAGGGACATCTGGAATGATCTGTTCATCTGCTGCCTTTGTAACCTGACCCCAGATGAGCCAAAGAAAATGGATGGATGGACAAATATAGCATAGCGGATATTTGTCCTGTGCAGATCTTGATGAATCAATGGATACATGATTTGGCCACAACAGTAACTCTGTTACATATCCTACTGAGATATAGGAATTCATCCAAGTAGGGTGTGTCTTCAGACATGGAGGCTGCATTTTCATGACTGCAGCTGTAGGACCACACTTCTAGGACCAGTGGTTTTCACGTCATCCACTGAGCTGGACAAGCTGCAAAGATCTATCTTCTAGCCAAGAAGAACAATAGTCATAGCGTGAGTACGAAACGTGAATCATGTGTAAGAACCAAACTATGTTTTAACACATCATCAGGCTCTTTAAACCATTATGTTTTAGCTAACAATAGCTGGCTGCAAAACAAGCTCTTAGCTTGATTGCTTATTTATTTAATGGAGCCTTAGCTTGATTTTGGTAAGCCTGACTCTGTGTTGATAATTAACTATAGTGAGCACATTAATTCAACATTAGAAGATGACAAAAGCATGTTGAAATGGTCAATAAGTGTGAGAGTGTGTGTGTGTGTGTGCGCATGTCATTCACTTTCCCTAAGGATGTGTCATGTTGATCCATACTGGACAAAAAAAAAATAGCTAAATACAGTTTATCAAATATATCAATGCTATATATCATTACCCTTAACAGTTATCAAGAGTGGGCACCCGGATAGCTCGGCGGGTAGGGCAGGCGACCCACGCACAGGGGCAATAATGCCCGACGCGTCGGCCGCAGTTCGATTCCAGCCAGCAGCTCATTTGCTGCATGTCATTCCCCCACTCTCCTCCCCACGTTTCTCTGTCTATCTTCACTATCAACTATCATTAAAGGCGGAAAAGACCAAAAAATATCTTAAACAAAAAAAACCAAAACAGTTATCAAGAGAAATAAAAGCAGAATAAGGTTTTGGACATACCTGCCCACTCTCTCTGCCCCTCGGTCAGGATCAGACTTAAGAATGTGGTGAAACAGCTCTGCTCGGTCTCTGGGTGGCGTCTTCCAGGACCGACGAAAATCATCTGCCTACAGTAGATATTACAACATGGTCCGTCACAAAGTGTTATGAGGATGCTTTTGATAAACTCAAGACAGTTTACCAGCGAAAGAACTTGCTTTAGAAGGGCTCAGTGGGCCAGCAAAGGCTGTGACGGTCATCACGGGATCCATGGGGCTTCTTGTGTGTCGCTGGATCAACGAGAGACTTTCTGAGGATTCAGGTGACCATGGAGCACCAATGATGGGCTGAGAGGTGTTGTCGGTTGCCCTCAGCAAAGGGATATAGCAGCGATCTGTGAGACAACATAAAGTTTATATAACAGGCTTAATGGTGATGACTCTCATGTCAGCACTTTACTGCTCTATGGCTACATTTTCATAAAGCTGGCACCAGTAGGAATCAAACCTTAAGCTGGGAGTGTACTTTAAAACAAAATCTAACTTTGTGTGTAGTCAAATGGCTGTTGTGGTGTGTTCAGTCTGTCCACAGGCAGTCATAAAGGCGATGGTTAAATTGCGATTTGTAAGGAAGGGAAGCCCTTGTCCAGGGGCTCACGAGAGCACACTGCAGACAGTGGATATAGAGCTAATTTCTTTAGAAAGAGTTCCAGGAAAAACTGTACACATGATGTGGACTGTCCAGAATAAGAACAACTCTGCTTCCGGAAATAGATGTTGCAGTTGAACTAAAGAACTAAATTCCATTCACCTCTGATGTTTTGGTGAAATTTCAGTCAGGTGATTCAAATTAAATTTACTACCTCAATAGCCAGGTACCATTTAGAAACTTCTTTTCATTTATCTTTACTTGAAGGTGTCACTTTCTGTTCCTTTTAGTAATTTGGATGAAACAACATTTAAAATTGATTTGAAAAAAGAAAAAAGTTCATCATTTTTCATCACTGAAGCACTGTGATATACCAGCCGATATTCAAATACACTGCAGTGGCAGTTCACTACTTTTAATGTTAATATTTTTTCATATTACTATTACTTGCATTTAATTCATGGTTCAGAAAATGGTTACATTAATGCAATACATAAAATAAACATAGTTCAATCAGTCTATGTCTGATGTAACACCAATACTGCAAAAATGATTGTATTTAAGCAGAAAAACTGAAACCTCCCTGTAATCCACTCGACACACATGAAAAAAACTGATATTTCAAAGGAAACTACATTTGGAATTCACAAAGTCAAAAATAATCATTTCTTTTTAAACACGGCTGCTTTGTTCCCAATGAGTTCACTCTAGAAACTGATTCTGTACAAAACAGTTCAACTGTTCGCTTGTAGAAAAGTATTTATGTTACAAAGGCTACATACAATCACAGTGGTCTGTGGCACTGCTTGTGCCACCTGTGTAAATTGTGCACAGCCCCTCTCTGTCGAAAGACAGCATGGATCCTGATGCTGTGTAATGCAGGTGTCTGACAAAGTTTAAAAAAAAAAGGGGGGAAGGTGACATTCTGACAGGAGCTTTTAAGATATGGATGGGAGTTGACACTGCTGTGGTGTTGCAGGAGATAGAGCTGAGCAGGGCACGATTTGGATATCAGAAGGCGGAGTGCAGCTCGGAGGCCTCTGTCCCGATTTAACCCCCGAGTAGAGATACATAGTATGCAGAAGTTCATATCAGCCATGCTCACAGGGCTAATTCAGTACTGGTCTTACACTGCAACTGTCAGATCAACTTCTTTACAACCCTGTCTGACTTTCAGCTGACTGAACAAAAATACACAGCTTGAGACATAAAGTGATTTGACAAACATGTTAGTAGTTTATTCAAAAGTACCCCTAGCCAAACACAGTAACCTATTTACAACACACCAAAGCCAATTCTTACCAGCCAACATGAATGGCACTATCACAAACCAAAGCCAAATTTAAACTATAACATCTAGACATGCTGTCTCTTTTTAGCCAGACCACTTTGAGTGCATATGCCATATAGGGCCCTGGACTGTCTTTCAGGAAACTGGGAAAAATGGAAACACATACTTTTCATGTAAGGTAGAATATCCTTACCCTCCAAGTAGTCACTTATCTTCTGTTTCACTTCTTGGGTTTTATTTTTCCTGCTACAAATAAGCTGTGGAAAGAGACAAAAGAAATAATGATACATGTACAGACATGCAGCTGCTGCTGGAAAGAATTTGTCCATCTAAGTTTAGCTTACAATGTTCAGTGAGTGATTATTGCCAAAAGATTTTAAAAGCAAGCGACAAGGTCACAGACTTGAAAACCTGAGTGAGCATAACTGCACCTCCCTCAGCAAGTCCAGCCAGGCTGGCAGAGTAGGTGCTTGGCAGCTCCCATAACTATATGTACATATCCTTTATGAGTGTTAACTCCCAGTAACAACACAGGCTATGCAAAATATTTTCTTACTCCGTGTGTATGTGTTACTAAGGTAAACAAGGTTCTAAATATAAATCCTTACATCATTAGGCTTCTGGCCATCCTTGTTCTTACAGTTCTTATCGACATCAGGATGCGAGCACAGGACATTGACCACATCTGGGCACCCAAACTTACAGGCAAAGTGGAGTGGTGTTTCAAAGCCCTGAAACAAAGTAAGCAATAACATGAACACAGCCCACTGACCACATTTGAAAAGAATGTAATCTGGCTTAGCAGGTTTGGTAAAGGTACTGACAGCCTTATCTGGAGTGTTGAGGTAAAGATCTACAATGTAGCGGATACGTTTCTGCAGCATGACTTCCTGGTCATCCGGGTACATGAGGCGCATGAATTCTGGGTTCTCCAAGGTATCCAGCAGCAGCTGAGCGATCCCTGCTTGGTTCTCCTTTGCCGCCACATGCATGACATTGTATCGGCAGCCCTCCTGAAGAAGACACAACAGAAGAACAACTGTATGGATCAGGACATAATCCTCTTTAATCTGTTGTCAGTAGGAAAGGGTACTTAATTTTGCCCAAAAGCAGCATCTGGCCTTAACTTCAGCTCCTGCATTTAGGGATTTATTACCCTCCACTGACTGTATTTTTAATAACAAGGGGCTTAAGAAACAATAACTATTTATAATGGTGGCATCAAATAGGTTTAAAGACTGACCTAATGTGTTGAATGTAAGACAAACAGGAAAAATTTTCATGAATGTTTTTATATAGCGACACCAAATATTCATTATCGACACACGCATCCATGTTATTTTTGTCTTTATCTCAGAAACTACAAGCCTGACAGAGGCAGTAGCCGGAAAGTTGACGCTGACATTGAAAAGATGTTCATGTACCAACAAATGACAAGGCTCCAAGTCAGGCTAAGCTTCTATATTAATAGCGACAGTTTGTGAAATCACAAGTGTATCATTATAGCAAGCTCAATTCAATTCAAACTACATGAAGGATACAGCCCATGGAGGATCTAAAGAATAACAAATAATGAAATAGAAAAACAAGAAAAAAATAAGAAAGTAATGTAAAACATTTTACAATGATAAGATATTTACATGTAGACAAAAACAGCTGGGGCTCCATTTACTGGAATTAAACGTCACTGAGCTCAGTTTGGAATAGCTTAAAGCCAAGATAATGTTTGCAGATTTACATAACCTACAAACATATCAATATATGAAACTTTTCTAATTATTACAGCAGAGCAGGATACACTGACATTATCAAACATCTGGCTTGCACATGAGCTTCTAGAGGCTTTCAGCAGCAGCCCCACACCATCGTTGTAAGTCCCTGTGAGTCTCTGCCAACTACCTCCCTTGTTGCGATACCACAAATGGGTACAGAAACTTTTAAAATGTGAGGTTTTCATAGTAACTGTACATTTAATGGCCAATATTTTTGCTTTTGCGTATAATTTGCAACATTGTCTATAAATATCTGCATCTGACAGATAACTGTCTACATAATGGCCTAAAATAATATTTAATTTTAAACATCTTAAAGGCAGTACCAGAAATAAAGAAATCATGAAATGTGAATGTTCTGTCTTTCTTTCTTCTGACAATCCCAGTAACCCTTTTATCTGCATCATATTTGATATGAAAATTCATATCATGCAATGAGCAAAATCTCAAATACCTCTTGGACACCAGCACTATAGAGATAGAAAATTATCAAATCATTTGCAAACATAAGGTGGGTGAGCAAAGAACTATCAACCATGCGTCCTGTGTCCCATCCATTTAACTGCATTGACAAATCACCCATATAAATGTTAAATACATCTGGAGACAAGACACTACCCTGTTAAGCTCCCATCACTGTTGAACATTACAATGCTTTTAAACATTACTCACATCAACATTAATCACGTTGCCTGATGTGCATACCACCAGAATACCTGGATTCTCACAAGGAACCCCTCTTTAAGACAATTCAGTAAATATTTTTTTCGTGATTTATACAGTCAAAAGCCTTAGAAGCATCACTACCACATATAAATATCCAGCTAGCTGAAACAACTAATTCCAGTCTGTAGTCGATATTTTTTTCTTTCTTTCTTTTTAATTTAGAAGACTGGCTCATAAGGTTACAAGTCTGTCTGAGAATGAGTACACCAAAATATTAATTTTATGTTCTCACCTGCACAATAGTGGGATTATCCCCTGAGCCAATAAGGTAGCGCGGGTTGCTCCAGATCAGTTCACTGAAGGCCAACTCATCGCCCTTTTCCACAGCTTTCCTTAACTTGGCTGTCAGGTCCTGGCTGCGTGGACTCTTGAAACTGTTTGCTCGCTCCCTGTTGATGGTGTCAACCTCCACGTTGTCTGGTGTGAAAAGGAAGAATAGAATGAGCAATGGGCTCTGCTGTTGAAAGTCTCAAGACACCTTTAAGGAATGATTGTATATAGTCACATTTTCATCATTACAGTGATTAGTTCACAGAATGAATTTCAAGTAAAGGGAGAAAAAAGACAAATACACTACTTTATTAAACAATATATTTTGTCAAATTTAGTGGACATTTCCTCCTCATAGTCCCTCGAGCTCTCCTGTCCACTCTGTGTATGTTCTGGGGCTGAACAATCACTTCATTTCAAAAGAAATTTGAAACAATGTAATTAGCAAACAGCAAAAGGGTGCAATTTATGATATTTGAGGTGTGGCTATCAAACAATGGGACTAATATTGTAATTCAATTTTATTTTAATGTATAGTATGTGGTTTAAGCACAGTGCAGTTCAACTGACATATTCCCAGCCTCATTATTTATTAGCCACACATCATACATTTCGCATCACTTTTGACTGGGGATTTAAACTGTCATGTCAATAGTTCTACAAATTCATGTCGTCTACTGACATAAGCTCCAAATTTAAAATATACTACACAGTGAACACCGTCCTGAAGATTAAATTTTAAAAAATTATATTGCAATATCTGTCGGAAAAATCACAATGACTTCTTGTTCCCAAGTCATCTGGCCCTAGTGTGCCCTGACAGGAAAGTGCAGTGTTTGTACATAGCCCTGGCTCTGTAAATGGGAAAGAAACCATGTGGCTTAGACCAATCCACACACTATTCTAGCCAACCAGAAATAGGGGGTGTTTTGTACGCATCAACAAGCAGACCTGTGTACAGTACAGCCCTATGAATCCTTACACATTTGCTGTAGGGTAGGCTGATTTTTAAACGCAGTTTTCCTCCTGTTTTTTTCATTGTGAATGTTTATTGGCTATAAGGCCGGAAGGTTTCCTTTTTGGTCCACTAACCCAGTTGTTAGTGTTGTCACCTTGGAAATGACTGTTCATGAATTTGGGGAACTAGAATTATGAAAAAGCATGAAAAGCAGGAGTGTGTTTGTTTGGCTGTTGAGTTTAAATATCAACAGACATTGCCAGGGATGGTTTACTCAATCTTTAATGCTGGTGATCAACATGACCCAGAAAATCTGATGAGGAAACTCAGAATACAACAAAGGCCATTGGTTAGTGCCCTCTCTACAGAGAAGCCTAACTCATTTTATCTACTTACCTTTACTCATGACCAGGCCTGGTTTGATAGGAGACACACAGGGTGTAGATTTGCTGGGAGAAGGAAAATAGTCACACATCCCCTTAGCAAACTTCTCAGCATCCTCACGGTTGGGAAAGGCTTTGAAGCGAGCTCCCTTCATCATCTTTACAGCTTGAAGGGCATCTTTCTTATCCGCGTATACATGTGCTCCCTCTACAGAAAAAAACACACAAAAAAACTACTCAAAATCTTTTTCTTTTTTTCAGCAGACTTTTCTTATTGTACATACTATTGCTTAATGTGGCTTTCTAGACAGCACTGAAGATGATTTTTTGTTATTTTCCCTTCTGTCTAGTCAGCCTGGTAAGTCATATTGTGATGAGGATCTACAAAGTGCCACTGCTTTAGCAGTTGCAATAAAAGCCTGCCCTGACCGATTAACATTAATGGTATTGACTTTTGTGGTAGCTCAAGATTAATTTAGATCATTACTCTATTCCAGAGAGCTCAGGCAGCCCAACTGCCCTGCTGCTTACCACCAAAAAATAGAAACAAATACCTTCACCCACTAAACAAACAAACAGGTATGTCAGACCACAGCAGCAAGCCCTCCTAAACAAATTGACATTAGATAACACAGTACACAAAAACAAACAAGCAACATAATCGTCTGTTAAAGGGGACTTTAGCCTCGAGTTAGTTAAAGCCAGCAATTAAACTTATCAAACAAAACAGCATGCACAGCAGTAACAAACACTACAGATTTAAAACCATTTTTTCATATTCTAAATATTGTTTTAATTCAAATGTAAGTTAAATACTCGTGGTGTATGATGTTGGAATTAACAACGTTTTTTGTAAACTCCTTTTTCTGCTGCATTTTTACAGGGGCTACAGAAAAAACATGAAAAATAAATGACATGCAACACAAATCCACAGCTGGAATCAAACAGAGGATGTTGTCATTACAATACACAGTGTGCATTGGTAGCACTCGGCCACAACCACACCCTATCCCAACTGACTTAGGGTGAAGGCAGGGGACACCCTGGACAGGTCGCCAGTCTATTGCAGGGCTACACTTAGAGACAGACAACCAGTTCACACATTCGGACAATTTAGAATCACCAATTAACCTCAGCATGCTTTTGGACTGTGGGAGGAAGCCGGAGAACCTGGAGAGAACCCACGCTGCACAGGGAGAACATGCAAACTCCACACAGAAGGATCCCGAGTGTCCTCACTGGGACGCAAACCAGCGACCTTCTTGCTGTGAGGCAACGATGCTAACCACCGAGCCACCTTGTAGCCCCAAATGTGACTACAACATGTGAATATTGAGGAAAAAAAACTTGATGAAAAGTAGAGTGAAAACCATTGCTATATAAAAATCCAGGTACTGTTCATGAAAATGCGTGTGGCTATATCGTTTGTTAGTGACTGTGTGGAGAACAATTGCAGTGGTTTGTGTATTAAGACATTTTCTCCTCATTTTGATAATTTGCTAAATGAGTTTATTAATGTTGTGACTGCCAAGGTGTAAAGCAAAGCATGAATTTATTCATTTATTTATAACAAAATATATTTATTGAGCTAACTCAATGAGCCATTGACAGTAGGTGACCAACTGAACAGTGGTAGTGTATGCTTTCACATTTTAAAACTGCTTCTGCAGGTCAAATGACTTCATTTTTTATGTTTTAGAGTGATTAATATGGAGTATGCCATGTTTTTTCACTGATAGAATTCTGATTGTGTGGAGTAACGCTGGATTTACAACCACACAGGTGGTGTAGCTCTGGAGGTAAAGTGACAAAGCAAATTAACTCAATTTTATTTGCTGTTCAACAGAAAAAGAAAAAAAAATTCATATGGTTCTCATTTTTTCATGACTTTACTCTGATTTAAGGTTTCTTGGGTACACTAGAAAATGTGTACTAGGGTACTCTTTTTTTTTTTTTTTCAAATATTTATCCACAAGATGCAAAGTTTGTTGACATGCAGACTCCACATGTGCAAAGCAAATGAGCGAAGAACAGAACAGAAACACAGAAACAGAAGATTTGGTTTTTAGAAAAAAAGAAAGAAAAAGAAAGAAAAAAAGAAAAAGAAAGAAATGTAAAGTCAGTTGTTTGAAAACTGTTCAGCAACAACAAGGATGATGCTGACTTTTAACAGGTACTTTTTGTCTGAGTGTCTTGCACTACACATGACTACACAACTAATTAACCTGACCAATTCAATCAGCACCACAAAGTTCTGCACAACAAGGGCAAAGTCAGATTTCAATGCCTTGGAAAGCAAAAACTATTTCGGATGCTATATGCTCATATCACAATATGAGAAAGATTCCAAATGACTTTCTTTCAGCTTTACCAATATTTTTTACTTTCCATGCAGACGCACTCCTCTACAAAACCACCCAAATCATTCTAGCATGATTGATTCTTTCCAAATAGTTATTCGAGTCATCTGTTAAAAGTTCCTCTATTTTCATATCGCAATTTATAGATATAACAGAACAACTAAATATCCCAGTGTCAGTTTTTTCAAATATCATGCAGTTGTAGTTTCTAATTGTTTTCTTGCAACTGACAAATTTATAGCTACTTGC